GAATGTTACTCTGTGGTGCCAGTGTATTGTGTAAAATTGGTGCATTGAAGACGGAAAAAGAGAAAATGCATGTCTTGTTCATCCACAACTGCTTTTAAAAAGGATAGTTCACCCAAAAATAAACATTCTGTCATCATTTACTCATCTTCATGTCGTTCCTAATTTGTATAATTTTCTTTCTTCTATTGTCCATGAAATGAAAGTCACTTTTGGACCCCGCTGACTTTCACTCTGTGGACTAAAAAAAATGCTGTAGCATTTTTCAGAATATCTTCTATTGAGTTATACAGGTTTGGAGCGACACAAGGGTGAGTAAATGATGACAGAATGTTTATTTAATAACATAACACTGCGCCAGTCCAATGCAATTTACATAATTTTTAATCTAGGCTCCCGTAAACTAGTCAAAGAGGAGCCCAACAACACGTGATAATGAATTGCAGAGGCTCTTTATGCAAGACAATGAGAGGCAGCAAGCAGCCGCAAGTGCTGTACCCCGACTAAATCTCTTTCTCTGGCCCAACGGAGCCCCTCCATCAGCCCAACGCGCCAGATATCGCAACAGACATCCCCCTCAGGTGCAATAATGTCACAGTCCATTAATCTTCTCAAACTTCAGGCCCTGATCCTGGGAGCCCCATCCATGCTAATCCCTTATTAATGTGGCAAATGAACCTGTGGAGAAAGAACTACTCCCTCCCGGCCCTTCACCATCACAATGCAGAGTCTATTACCGCCTTCCCCCGTACCGTCTCGAGTCTCTACTGTTTGCATTAGGATGTCCATTCATTGAAGCATAAAGCCACTCGAGAGAGGCTTGAACACACACACACACACACACCTCTTCATTCCACATATTATTTGCTCCGTGCCCTCGCTAGTAACCTTTGTCTAGCTCACATATGGTGGAGCGCGAGCCAGATGCATGTGTAATCTCTTAAGATTAAATGTTGCAATTCAAGTCAGCAACCAGACACTTTTGTTCCATTTTGGTTTTGTCTTAACTCGTTGAGACTCTCAGGAAAGGCGATGCGTACAGATTCCTTCTATTATGTGACAGTGGGAAAGACTTGACTGCGCTCTGCTTTGCCAGATTAGAGGAAAGCTCGGCAACAGAGGAAACAGTGCATGAGAGACAATCATCTGGTCTCTAATAACAGTCCCACGGAATCTCACGGGTCTGATTGCTTCCTAAACCAAACGGAATAACCGCATCACTTCGGAATAATTGCAAGTCATTAATGCTAGCACTCACCGGTAGAGCTGTTAGCCTGCTCTCAGGGCTCCTATACATATGAATAAGGCTTTCTAAGAATCTATATTTATGGGAAAAAATCTGATAAGAAATTTGAATCTGATTGACGTGATGTAAGTGAATTTCTTAATGTGAAATCTGAGAAAGTATGAGCAGAAACTCGACGCTCTTTTACGCAACACAAACGCTCTTATAAATGCTTGTATGAGTTTGGTTTGCTATGAGCAGTCACTTCCCAGTTTAATTTCTCCAACTGAGTTTATTAATCAGGCTTGTTGAGGAGTTTTCCCACAGAGCAGAGTCTTCCACACTATGCATGCACGCTTAATCAATAACCTAAATGTTTCATGCACTTCGTAATAGACTTTTTAATGCGCCTCCATCCTGAGAAGCTATTGAACCATGATGTGTGCATGTGTGTTTGCCCCATGCAATAAAATAAAAAACTACAAATGAGAAATAAATGGCCTACTCAGATTATTTTGCAGTAAATGCTGTTCATCAACGAGTTCTTTGGAAGGTGAGCGATTTTGTATCTGTTATATTATTGAATTTCACTCTGAAAAAACATAGTAAAGTGACAGAGAAATGGGAAAGGAATGATACACATTGATTCCTGGATGCACAGTGGAAATTTTCCAACATCACATATTATCAGAAGCGGTGTAGAAACGATTGGAAAGTCGAGAGAACATATTATTGCACTTATTAATCATTTTGGCTCAAGTAATTATGTGACTTGACAAGTCTCTATGGCTTAAAGAGTAGAGCATGGCACTAGCAAGGTCATGAGTTTTCGAGGGAATTTTGAGGGAATGCATGAACTGACAAATTGTAAGCTTTGAATGCAATGCAAGTTTGCTTTGGATAAATGCATTAACGTTCACCCAATGAATCGCTCATGCAACTAATGCCTCTGCTTAGTCTTAAAGGGACAGTTCTCCCCAAAATTAAAAATGCTGTCATCATTTACTCACAATCAAGTCGTTCCAAACCTGTATGACTTTCTTTCTTCTGTGGTGCATAAAAGAAGACATTTAGAAAAATGTTGGGATGCAAAAAAAAAAAAAAAACATTGTACCCAGTTGACTTTTCTCCTTTTGTGTTCCACAGAAGAAATACATAAAGGAATGACATGTGGGTGAGTAAAGTAGTTTTACACAGCCACCTGCATTTTTTTTTTCATTGCACTGCGGCCAAGCAGAACGAAAATGGTCATGTTTGCTGCACCCTTAACTATCAGGCAAGTTTGCATGTGCTTATTTTTGTTTGCACTGCTTCAGTTCAGTCGGTGAACAGAAAGGCCAAGTGTTAATTACCCTATGGCTGTCAGCAGAGGTTTTGGGTGCCATAATAAGCTCGCCACTGATGTGCCTCTAGCTATGCTAACTAGCTCTGCATGGAGGCTGCCCGAGTATCTATGAGCTTTAGAGAGGAAATGCACAGTCAATGGCCTTTAAAGGATTGAGACAGAGACACAAAGGGCAACCCCTGTTCAAACACAGACCCCTCTGGACTGAGCGAACAGTGCATTTCACAGTGGTACAATCCATCTACGGCGTTGACAGGCATCTGTCTTTGCACTTACAGTGGCGGCTATTGTTTTGGGTCACTGAGTCATTTGTTAAGGCATGTACAGCACGACAGCATGGTTCCCAATAGGACAGTATAGCTGCAGAGGCCGCTCTCTTGGCCTGGATTGCAGTTCATTATGTAATCTGTCGTTCTACATTGGTGTGCTCCTTTCTTTCTCCCTACAATGCAAATCTTAGACAGGGAGAAGGAAAGAGAATGCAAAGAATTGCTGTGCATATCCAAAATCTCATTGAAAAACCTGAATGCTTCAATGCATTCATCACACTCGTTTGATGTTTTCATTTGGAAGGGGAATGGGATGAGTTGCAGTGTAACCTATAGAAGGGTCATATCCTGTGTGGCCTACCCCGATGCATGTCCGCGATCTGGACCACCCACACAAGAGCAAGCCAACCCAGACGCCCCCATCTTCCAGACTCGCATCCGCCCGGAAAACAATATTAGACAAGCTATTGTTTGTACAGCTTTCACGCTTAAGGAAATTATAAACGATCCTCCACACACTCAATCTGGAAATATGCAGAGTTGTGTGTGTTTACTTACAGTAGCTACACTTTGCCAGAAGTTGGAAAACGCCCATAAGTGAACTAAAAAAAAAATTCATAATTCATAAATAAAGTAAAAAAAAATAAAAAAATAAAAACTCTCCTCAGAAGTGAGCTTATCCTCAAATGAGAAAACATTCATTAATAAGAAAAACTAAATTAATTCATGAATAAGGTAAAAAGATTTACATTTAAATAAAAAATACATATATAAATAAAACGCACAAAATTCTGTCTTCAACTGGAAAAAAAAACATCCATGAACAACTTAAAAAACATTCATAAATAAAGTAACAAAAAGTAAACAAGTGTGTATGTGTTTGTTCTCCAACGGTCAGACCTTATCTTACACATCTCTAACAGCCATTACCAATCTGTTGTGTATTCAGTCCATCATTAGACATGAGCTGTTTACTGAGAGAAATGCTCCTACACACACACACACACACACACACACACACACACACAGACAAAAGGGCAAGGGAAAGGCAAGGAGACAGAGAGAGACGAAAAGTGAGTGAGAGATAAAGAGAGTGAATGAGAGAGAGAGAAACAGAGAGAGAACGACTGCTGACTGCTCCCCACTTCTTCCCCATGCATTACAGACACACACTGCATGTTGGCCCATAGCCAGAATATGCCATACAGAACAACAGTGCCACCTAAAGGTAATATTCCCCTCCCTCCCTCTTACTCACCCTCCCTCAACTCTCTCTCATCATCTGGGTTTCATACTACGAGATGCTGTGCAACTCGCTTTTGTGATTTTGAGCACTTTATACAGTAGAATTGTCTTTGAGAAATATGTACAGCTACCGAAAGAGAACACAGTTCTATACTAAATGTCTGAGACAGTTTATTGGTTTAGTATTTGGATACCATTGGATTTAATGAATCAGGAGATAATGTTTAATTTTGTGTGCGCACATTTTCTCTATTAGTAGATTAACTGCAGTTCAAGATTAATTAAGAAACTGGTATCATTGAGAATGCTAATTAACAAATGCAGACAAATAAGAACAAGATTGAACTTGAGTGGTTACTCATACAAGTGATGATTTGTTTGATAATGCCTAGATTTAAATTAATTTCTTCCATAAAAGAGTTTGGATGTCGAAATGAGAAAATGGTGATCGAAGTAGACAGGCGAGAAAAAAATGTTTCTTTCACAAACTCTCAGAACATTGCATCTTTGAACCACGACAGAGCAGTGAAATTAAACTGAATCTAGCCTCTTAGGATTCATAAGAGACGTTGGATTCTTTTTGAACCTCACCCATTAAACCAACTGCTTATCCAGCACTTGGTTCAAGCAGAGGTTTATGAATTAAAAAAAAAAAAAAAAAAAACACAGAAATGCATGTGGTAAGACGATGACAATAGTAATTCGCCTGGGTCTGCTAGTTTCATATAAAACACATACAATATTTACGACTTTTTTGGTCATTATATAAGAACATCTATGGGGGGCTTTTTTGAATTCTACATTTTACATAGTGCATCACAGATGTATCACTCAAAGCAAGTTAGCTACCACAGGCACTTCAGTACTGAGCAGGGCAGTTATAAGCAGTACTTATAGACCAGTAAAAGTGTTCTTTTACCTGTCTGGTGTGCAAAGGTGCCCCCTTTGACTTGAAGCCTCCTTGTGAACTGCATTCTGAGGCACTGAAGTGATCGGAGCTGGTGGAGGAACGTTTGGAAAGCGTGTCACAGCCCCCAACAAAGGTATTGTCCAGTGGCAGCTCCTGTATCACATGATGCTTTTTCACAGACACCGGAGTGTCAGCTTTGAGGTGGAAGGCCGACTGGGGTGAAGCGGACTTGTAGTGCCGGGCCAAGTCTGGGCTGCTGGGTTTGAAGGTGGTAGTAGGGGTGGCATTCCAATCAAAGCGTCCAATCCCGGGCTCCTCGAGCTCAGCCGGGAGACTGATAGTTCCGTTTATGGGTTCGTGGGCAGAGTCGTCGGGTTTGTTCTCCTCGATGGTGACAAAGTTCAAGAGGGAGCTCTTTGGCGACTTCCTCTTTTTGCGCTTCTTCTTCTTGTTTTGCTTGTTCTCCTGGTTGGGGGACATCCACTCGGTACCCTGCTTCTTTCTCTGAGCCGCCTTGAACTGAGAGGCATTTCGGCAGCGCACCAGAACTGTTATGAAGATGACCACAATCACTACCATAGCACCTGTCACAATGGCAATGATGGTTTTTAGGTTGTCAACATTCTGATAAGTCTCACTGCTCTCGCCAATGTTCCTATCCAGTGGCGTTTCCATTGTCCGACGTATGAGGTCATGTATGTATGAGGAATTTCCAACCGTGTCGTTTACGTACAGGAAAACTAGGACAAGAGTGTGCAGGGACTTTGGATAGCCTAGGTCACTGATGTTGACCACAAGCCTGTGGAGGCCAATGTCTGCCACCGTGGGTTTCTCCTCTAACGTGATGTTTCCTGTTACAGGGTCAATTCTGAAAAGACTTCTTGTGTTGCCACTCACAATAGTGTACTTGAGCTCTGCATTCATACCCGTATCGCCATCTACTGCAAACACCTCGGCCACAACCGATCCCGGAATCGCAGACAGTGGCACTAGTTTGAAAGAGGTGTTTGATGGTGGGTAGATGACGATGGGGGGGTTATCATTGACATCAATGACATTGATGGTCACCTTGGCAGCTGACGAACATGGAGGGCTTCCATTGTCCACAGCTCTGACGTCAAAGGTGTAGGAGCTTTGCTGCTCTCGGTCAAAGGATACATTGGACTTTATGACTCCAGAATCTGGGTCAAGGATGAAGTTCTCATTATCGTTAAGGATTGAGAGTCTCACCACGGCATTCTCACCAGCATCTGCATCTGTGACTGTGATTACTCCAACTGTACTATATTTAGGCAGATTCTCTGACACAAAGAACTGAAAGTGGTTGTGTGTAAATTTAGGGCTATTGTCATTCTCGTCCAGTATGGTCACTATGACTGCAGCTTGATTCTGCAGAGCCCTGGTGCCATTGTCCCTAGCGGTGACCGTAAAGAGGAACCGCTCTTGTTCCTCCCTATCAAACACCCTGGATGCGGTTAGCACTCCTGTTTTGCGGTCAAGATCAAAAAATGATGCGTTGGGTCCAAGCTGGTAGACAATCTCTGCATTCCGTCCACTGTCCTCATCTGTGGCACTGATGGTTGTCAGGAACATGTCACGTTGGTTGTTCTCCATGAGAGCCAGCTCAATGACAGGCTGGGTGAAAATGGGTGGATTGTCATTCTCATCCTCCAGCCGTACTCTAACCAGGGCGGTCTGGTTCAGACTAGGTTTTCCAGAGTCAGAAGCAACAATCTTGAAGATGTACTCCTTGGTTCCTTCATAATCAAGCAGTGCAGATGTTTCTAACAAATACTGGTTATCATAAACTGCTTTGAGGTGAAATGGAACATCTTTTTCAATGAAGCAAATCACCTTGCCGTTGACGTCTGTGTCTTTGTCAGATACAGTAATGAGGGCAATCTTGGTGTTAATTGGATCTTTTTCAGAAAGCATTACAGTACCATTAGTTGGACTGATGATGTATCTCAGGTCAATGTTTGGAGCATTGTCATTCACATCAGTCACATTGATAGTGATGGTGGCTCTTGCTGGACTCGAGCTTCCATCGCTGGCTAGTACTGTGAGTTTATGAATGGCAGTCTCCTCTCTATCAAGCGGCCTTTGAACTGTTATGAGCCCAGTGGTGGAGTTCAGAGCAAAAAGTCTCCGTGTCGCTGGAGACACCTGGGCCCCAAACATGTACTTTATTTCTGCATTGGCACCCACGTCTGCATCAGTGGCTTGCAGCTGAACTACAGATGTGCCGACGGGAGAATTTTCTGGGATGTGGACCTCAATTTGGCTTTCTTTGAAGACAGGCCGGTTATCATTAACATCAGTGACAGTCACCTGTAGAATGGCAGTGCTGGATTTCTGTGGGTTCCCCCCATCCTCCACTTTGACTTTCATCACATAAGTATCTTTCTGTTCTCTATCTAAATTCTGCTGAACGATAAGCTGAGGCCATTTCTCACCCTCTGGTGTCTCCACAATATCCAAACCGAAGGCGCTCTGCCCGTTCAACAGCTCGTATTTGTGTACGCTGTTGGGTCCGGTATCTGGATCAGTGGCAGAGGGAATAGCAAAGCGGCTGTTGATGAGTGTGTTTTCCGGAATTGAAATGTTGATCACAGGCGAGGGGAACATGGGGGCATTGTCATTGGTGTCTTTCACCATGATTTTAATTTTGATTAATCTGAAATAGTCATTGGGCAAAATGACCACCTCAATTTCAAAGGAACACTCGCTGTCTTCAAAAGAGGAGCCTGGACAGAGTTTCTCCCTGTCGATACGGTTGGAGGTGGTAAATATTTCTCCTGTATTGCTCATCACTCTAAGTAGTGGGGTGTCACCTGCTTTCGACACAAGCCGGTAAACCAGATTACTGGTAGCCGCGGTGGCAGAGTTCATATGGGAGATGTTCAAGTCCTTTGGAATGTTTCCAATAAGAACATTCTCCTGTAGCTCTTCTCGAATAGGGTAAATGAGCTCTTGGGCTATGGTGGGATCTAACCAGAAACAAGCAACTAATGTTGTCAACAAGAAAAAATCCCTTAAATCCATGACAGCAGTTCACGCGTGTTCCTGCTGCTTTAATTCAAACATTTGTCTCCATATGGTGTTGTCAGAGCCAAGGTTTCACAGAGCCTAACATTTGTAGATAAAGAGCAGCCAAACACGACCCTACAACACACAACATTATAATGTTACAATGAATTCCATAATACTCAACACTCAAGACAAAGAACCAACAAATGGTCCATCCAAATCAACGTAATTAAAAATCAAGCAATAAGTGTTTATAGTCTGGTTTATAGTATATCTTAATAAAGGTGGCAATGCATTCTAGTTATAATTCTCATATGCATTCTAGCCACCACTACAGTCAGGTTTTCACTGTAATAATTTCCCCTCTGCATACACAGAGGCTCTTGATAAAATAATGCAGCCAGTCAAGCACTCAGGCATTTCACATGAAATGTCCCTAATGTCATCTCCTTCGAAGTTACACACCATGCATTTGGGATTTAATCTAATTATTATTTTATTGTGAATAAATAGCTATGCACTAGAAGTGACAGTGTTTTAAACAAGACAGTACATCAATTCTGCATGCAAACCCCTTTGGGTGTATGCATGCATGCGTTTTCTTACCTCGGTTCTCTGTGAGCTCGCTCATACGGAGGTTACCAATTCGCGCACACAGTGACAAATCCCTTCGACCAGTCAGAAAAACAATCTGACTCCAGTATAATATCAGGATATCCGTATTGATCACTGCTTTGAGGACTAGGTCAGTGAAAGTATTTTAGTCGTGGGAAAAAAAATCCAACTCAAAGCACAGCTGGTTTTGGGGGGAAATGTTGATTTCACAGCAATCAATCAGACAATCTTTATGAACTTTCCCCGGCAGATCAGCGTGCGGTCTGCGGTACCGGTCATGAATCAGGTGATCCACGCGCGCGTTAACGGTCCCGTACCGTCATTCCGCATTTCCCGGAGGAGCCCTTATGAAACACACCTGTTCTGCTCGAATATCAACATAAACTATCCCGTCAGAGAAAAAAAGAGTCAAGTACGAATGCGATCAGATCATTCCCCTCTCAGTCCTAAGTCAGAACAAAATCCACGGCTTCTGTCCCGGTGTCTTGTGCGTGATTCCCCGCGCACACCTGAATGAGAAAAAGTCCAAACGATGGGATGTGTTGGGATGCTTATCCTCGATCTCTCCTCTTCCCCAGACTGAATTTCTCGCACTAACTCTGAGTATGCCCACAGGGGAACGCCCCCTCGGCTGCTGATTGGTCCATCTCTTCATTAACGTCGCCGTGAGGGGAGGGGGAATAATGTGATTGGTTAGAATTAACGTCACTCACGCGCGATGCTGAGACGGAGCGAAATGCCTCAGAAAGCCTCTGCGGGCTGCGGGATGAGGAGGTTTGATGTACGGCTCCATTTCTCCTCATTAACGCATAAGAGCATTTAATGTATTTGTTCACAAAATTGTGGTGTCAAATAATCCAAACACAATCTGAAAATGTTTTGTCACATGTGACCGACAGCTATTTGGAGTAATAAATAACGCAGTGACAAAAAGCGTTTCAAAGCAAATGAAGTCTGCTAGTCAGATGCACATGAGAAGTGTATAGGCTTCTGTCAAGTTATACATTTATCAAGTTGGTTGCAATAGTAGCTTACACCGTGTAGAATCGTTAATACGGAAATATAGTTTAATTGTATCAACAAAGTTAGTTTTTATGAACTTTAAACCATCATGGTGCAGTTCACTGTAACACTGTCATGATCAGTATTTTACAGCATTAAACAGATTTTATAGGCACGAATCTAGGCTATATTTTGTCTCGAATTGTCTCGAAAACTGTTTATGCCAACGTATGTTAACTGATAATAATCATTTAACATACGTTGGCATAAACAGTTTGGAACTGTAAAATATAGTCACTAAATGCTTTGTCGCTGTGTGACTATGTGATTTTAACTGCAAAATTCGGTTTATAAAATATAACAAGATGCGTCTTATTCAGTTGTGAAATTCAGCAGTGTAAAAGAAATACGTGGCAGTGTTTCTTTTTCTGTTAGGAAGGGTAACAAGGTTGAAATATATTTCATAAAAACTATACGCGCACATCTAAAATCTTTTGATCTATTTTATTCAAGGTTTATTAGACTGAACGTTTGAAGAGAGTTGGACACCATCAGGAAAGCGGAGCGTGTTTAGTTGAGTTGCGGTAAACAGCACCATCTAGAGGCGAAGACGAGACACATGCGCTTATCTCTCATCTCATTCCAGAGCTGAAGTGGGACGACACTCCTGTCGAGGTTTCAGGTGTGTGCGTGCGTGTGTGTGGGTGCGCGCGCGCGTGTGTGTGTGTGTGTGTGTGTGTGTGTGTGTGTGTGTACCTGGTATTTATCACGTTATGGGGACCAAATGTCCCAACAAGGATAGTAATACTAGTAAATCTTGACCTTGTGGGGACATTTTTGAGGTCCCCATGAGGAAACAAGCTTATAAATCATACAGAATGAGTTTTTTTGAGAAAGTAAAAATGCACAAAGTTTCCTGTAAGGGTAGGTTTAGGGGTAGGGTCGGTGTAGGGCAATAGCACATACAGTTTGTACAGTATAACAACCATTACGCCTTTGGAATATCCCCATAAAACATGGAAACAACATGTGTGTGTGTGGGTGTGCGTGTGTGTGTGTGTGTGTGTGTGAGAGAGAGACAGAGTGCAAAAGCTTTGTTAGGTCAAAGATGGAGGGACTGAAGAGCCAGTCAGTTTCTTGGAAATTATTATCAGCTTTTTCTTCCACTGACATATCAAGGGATGGAAAGATTAAAAAGAACAAAGGTAGATACAGGAGTAAAGAAGATATTTTTGGCTGGCTGACAACCCGGGCCAATCTATCATTCCTCCAACTCAAAAACTGTGACTCAGGCATAACAGCAGTTAGTAAAGAGACGTACATCATACTGTATAGTGTATCATCCTACAGGAAGTGACATCATTTTGGAGGGAAACCAACAACACAAGCACCAGTGAGTATTAGCAATGGATTTGCATTGTGGTAAAACATTCCTTCTGCAAATCTGTATGATGCTATGAATATTCAAAAATTAACTTCAAGCTGATACTTTCATATAAACTAACTCCAATCCTTCAATGGCTAACTCTGGCTTGTTCATTTTCTTGCTATTGTATAAAAGTAATCCAATTACAACACAAGCATATCCATTTCTGAAGGTCACAGAGGTCAGTCTATGCAGGGTGTGTTGTGGGTTTGACCTTTCCGATTCAGTGACGCAACACAGCCAGGCCAGAGAGTGTGAGGGGTGATTTCCATGGATATTAGATTAGCAATTAAGTTTTGCTTTTCCACTGCAATAATTTAGAGTCCCATGAGAGCTGAGCTTTGATTTTCAGATCAACATTTTCCTTATTATTTTCTGCATTGCTTTTTTGTCTTGTATGAATAATGCACACAAGCTCATGTTTATGATGCTGGAGTGTTGATAGGTTCTGTAAAGGAATATCACAGACCTGACAGCCTTTCAATTGTGTATTGATGGAATTCTATTATAGTAGCGAGACCATGAATTATGAAAGACGAAACATAAAATGTGTTGATAAAGCATCCTGCCCCTATCGAGCCAGTTTAGCCACAGATAAACTCATGTCCTGAATTAAATCCATTGTTAAAGTGTAATTCAGATAAGCCTTAAGGTCAACTGAGAAAGCCACATATCGAAAGATATTGACATATTTGAGCAGTTCCTTTGCGAACAGGTGAGCCACTTCCTTGAGTTTTCTCCTTCCCAGAAGCTTTACGATTCAATGCATTTAGCTCAAGTTTTCTTTAGAGACCAAACGAAAAAGGACCACATTGCTTTTGTATCACAAGGACTATTATAAAAACACCTTGTTGACTCTCTAGATGCCAGATAGACCTGAACTTTAACTGGGTGAAGCTAGTTTTGCAGTTTTCAAAATGTCAGTTGTGTGATTGTTGATGCATTTAAAAAATGTGTTTGTAACTGCTGCTCTTTACAAGATATGCTTTTTGAAAACAAGTCCGACAACAACACTGAATAAAAATAGATGTTTTTAGATATTAAGAATTATTTTCATAGAATGAATGATTAATGGATATTTTACACTTGGTTTTTAACATGCACTTCTCAAAATTTTGCTCCAATCCAGTGGACATACATCTGCCAAAGAAACAAGTGCAAAAATCTGCTAATGAAACATGCAACATTTACATTCAAGATAAATGGAACGCAGTGTGCTTTTAATTTTCAAAAGTGTGCTTTCAGGTTTTTCACTTCAAACATCTCGTGATTCAATTTGCAAGACCTGGGGAATTTAAATACAGGCTTTCTGGGAACTTTGCAAAAAGAGCTAATCAAATCCGGAGCGATAAGGCTGGTTTTCTTAGATTCATGTCTGTGAGCCAAGTACATTTACAGAAAAGCTTCAGACATGTAAGCTGGAAGTCATAAAAATATGGAACTGTAAAAAGATAACCAAAATAGAAGTGCGGTCTCTAAATGCAATAAACTGAAAAACATCTAAGTGGCACTTAAAAGCAACCGAGTGATTTCGCAAGCAAATCTTCTTTGAGTTTCATCCTGTTCTTGTCTGTTACAGTTTGCGGCTAATTTTGGCACCACATCTGCCATTCTGAGAGAGCGTGGATATGGAGGTATTTGAGAAAAGTGTCTAGCACATGCATAAATAAACATTCGCACATGCACACATGTGCGCTGATGACTGTAGCTGTGGCTGCTTGGCTCTGGCCAGATGATGGTTCAATCCAGCTCTCTGAACTGCTCTCTTCCACCACATACTGGCTGCCAGCCTTGGCCTATCTACCTCTCACTGTGTGTGTGTCTGTGGGAGTGTGTGAAAAGGAGAGATAGGGCGAGAGAGAGCCGATCTCTGGGGTTCTAGACACTCCTACTATCTTTAGGCACAATCTGGGCCGGTGCATGATTGGACAGAGCAGGCCAGAGAGTGATAAATGTTCACCAATGGCCCATATGGCACTGCCAAGAGATGAGTTTACATCACAGTCTCATCACTACTCAGATACAAGGTTACTGGGACAACAAAACAGCATCCAAAACACAATGATGGCATCCAAATTTCACTGAACTGAGCGTGATGGAATCTAAAGGAAGTCAGACATGGCGAGAGCCTTAACCCCAACTGACGTTGTGTAGGACGTGTCTCCTCCAATATTCAGAACGGTGCTCAGCTGTTAAGGGTTTTTCTGTGATTCGTTTTAAAATGATTACATTTGATTCCTCCCGTCATGACAAATGTGATTACATCCTTGAAAACAGCTATTACAGGAAGGCATTAGTGTTGTGACGTCAGGTCTGGTGTGTGTAATTTCCTCATGTGTTTTCTGAGAAGTTGTCAAAATAAAGCCTGTGGGACTTAATGTGAGCTGTGAAGTTTTAATGATGAAACTGTTAAAGGGATCTATATATCTATCTATATTGTGGTGTGGAATCCATAAAAAAAAAAAAAAGCATATACAGCTGTTAATGGGGTGGCACACTTTCAGCTTTCATTTTCAGCTGCATTTAAGGTAGATATTATTACCTAAAAAGCATACATATTAGTATCTATTAGTACCTTTTGAAATGGTATTGCCCCAGAGACAGCTTTTGTACCTTTTTTTCCTGAGAGAGTAGAGTTTGTTTGTTTATTCATTCATTTTGTGAACTATTTCTTTTGCAGATATTCTGCAGCGATTGCGAGTTAAGCTAAGGGAGGTTAATAGAACTATATATTATTTGAACACATCAACAAAAATGTGATGTCATGAGTTGGCGTCTGGCATGTCCTTATTAGGGTTGGGTACCGAAACCTGATACCAATATGGCACCGGTACCTATGTAACCAGTATGTACTAGAACCGAATCAGAACGCAGATTTCGGTGCCATGCCCGAGCGATCGATTGAAATATGTATCCTCTGGTTCTCCAAAAAGGACGTAAGAAGCATCATCACCGGCACCGCACGTGAAAAATAATTTCCAGACTGAGAAAATGCACGTGAACTCAAGTCGTAAAGCTCTAATAATACAAATATTTGTAGTAACGAGAG